AAAAAAAAAAAAAAAAAAAAAATTTATTTTTAAACTTGTTTGAAACAATTGATCCATATTGCATTTCTTGCCCTTCATAGATGTGATATACGTCTCAGCTGCAGGCAGTATGCTCTGTCAGATTGTTAACTCCCTGCTGTTACTCCCTGTGTCGGTGGCTCGGCCTTTACTGAGTTACCTCCTTGATCTATTGCCACCTCTTGATTGCCTTAATAGACTTCTGCCAGCTGCAGATCTTTTAGAAGACCAAGAGTTACAATGGCCTCTTCATGGTAAGTAAAGATAGCAGAAGAGCAAAGTAATGCTTTGGAGAAAGGTTGTTCCTCTTGCTTGTATCACTGTGTTTTATCTGTTAGAGTCTATCCATTCTAAAGCTATCAAAGGAATCTCATCACTTAAGTCTTAAAAACCTTACAAGTTTAAGTGAAACCTCATTATTTTATTGAAAAGAATTCTGGGCTGAGGCATGAAGAGGTCTAGTTTTAAGTCTTGGCTCTCTGCTAGTAACTTGCTATATGGTCATTGGAGAGTCATTTATCACTTTAAGTCTTAGTTTCTTCTCTTGGAAAGCATTGGGGTTAGACAAGATGATCTTGAGGGCCTGTCTTTATAGTTCTTTGACCATTACATTTAGGTGAAGTCCAAGTGTCAAGTTTACAACCATATCAAGATATTGATTAGGCTTTGTATGGAGCTCTCTAGGTTTATTCTTACTTTTCTAAAATGTCTAAGAACTTTCTAAGATTCAATCTATTTATGTCAGGTAAGTTAGGTATCATTTTATTTTGGATTTCTGCATTTGTATTTATAAGTAATATTTTTCGTAATATTCCTTTTTCCTTAATCTTTGCCTAGTTTTTACTATCAAAGTTATACTGACTTCACAGCATGAACTGAGAATCTTCCCTTTTTTTCTGTTCTCTGAAATAAATTTGTATGAGATAGAGGTTATCTGAAGTTTTAGGAAAATTCATAAAACTATTTGGCCCTGGTGTGTTTTTTTTTTAATAGATAGTTCCAATTAATTTTCTTTCTTTAATAGTTATTGTTCTTTCCTAGATTATGTTTCTTCTCAAATCCATTTTGGAAACTGATATTTTTCCAGAAAATATCATTTTGTTGGTTTTTAAATTTATTTTCATAAAATGTTTCTTCTCAAATCCATTTTGGAAACTGATATTTTTCCAGAAAATATCATTTTGTTGGTTTTTAAATTTATTTTCATAAAATTATTTATAATATACTTTCATATTTTTAAAAATCTCTAGTATACCTAGGGTTATGTCTCTTTATACCTTTTTTTTAAAATTATGTCATCTTTTTCTCTTGGTTAATTTTATTAGATGTTTGTCAATTTAAAAAAATAATAACTTACCATTATCTTTTCTTTTCTTTTTTTTTTTTTTTTTATTGAATGGTCATTATCTTTTCAAATAGCTATTTTTTGGATTTGTTGATCTCGCTCTTTCTTTTTTTTCTTATGGCCAAGTGTCTTTTTTTTTTTTAAGTGAAGAACTTTTAAAAACATGTACAATGAGGAAGCCTGGCTCTAGATATTAGTAAATAATTCTCAATTTAAGCCTTAGAAGCGGGTGGCACCTGTGGTTCAGTGGATAGGGTGCCGGCCCCACATGCTGAGGGTGGTGGGTTTGAACCCAGCTCTGGCCAAACTGCACCAACAAAGGAAATAACCGGGTGTTGTGGTGGGTGCCTGTAGGCCCAGCTACTTGGGAGGTTGAGGCAAGAGAATCACCTAAGCCCAGGAGTTGTAGGTTGCTGTGAGCTGTGACGCTACGGCACTCTACCCAGGGTGATAAGGGATAAGGTGAGACTGTATCTCTCTAAAAAAAACCAAAAGCCTTAGAAGCATTATAATAAGGGTCATTTTAGTCAGTGAACTGTTGTGTTGGATTTTGGAGGAATGAGCTCAAAGTACTCCTTGAAGATGGTAAAATTTGATCTGGATAATGAAAAGTAGGAATAGAATTCATTGGAATAATGTTGTTATATACTATTTTAATGTTTATCTTGAAATTAGTAACTTTACAAAGGAAAATTTTATTTGATAGCATAATTTTTCTGAATATACTTTAAATTTGCCTGGTAAAGAGAATATATATATGAAGTATTATAATTTGTGTTGTCATTGTAAAATTATTTTGCTTCAATATCTTATTGCAATACACTATAATAGGAGATTACAAAAAAGCTTTGAATCTCAAAAGTCCCAGATAAAGACATAATTACTGATTATTTTGCCTTTAGGAGGGCCAGAACTAATTGATCCTGCTGGTGTGCCATTACCTCAGCCAGCCCAGTCCTGGGTGTGGCTTGTGGATCTAGAAAGAACAATTGCTCTCCTTATTGGTCGTTGTCTTGGTGGCATGCTTCAGGGCTCCCCTGTGTCTCCAGAGGAACAGGACACTGCATATTGGATGAAAACACCACTTTTCAGTGACGGTGTAGAAATGGACACCCCTCAGTTAGGTAATGTGCTTCTCTGAAGCATTTAAAATACATGCTTGTTTGTGCCTCCATTAACCCATTTTCTTATTCTGAGTTTGCTGAATAGATAGCTGATAGACAACAAATGCAACATTAGTAATGTAGGCAGTCTGGACTGTAACATGGCACCCTAAGAAAAATGGTTAAGTCCTGCAGCATGGTAATAGTGAAAAGACCCCCAGGTAGGTCTTGTCCTACTCTGTCATATTTATAACTTCTTTTGAGGAAGTCATCTAACTTACAGAAATGAGAAAAGTGCTTGATTGCTTATGTTCTGAGGCTTAGAATTCACACAAACACCCCTGAGGTGTGAGTGGCAATCTTTTTTCCTCCCAGCCTGTTTTGCTTTCATACTGATACTACCTTATAGGATTCTTTATTTTTCCCTCCCCATTTATAAGGGAGGTATAAACCTTTGAGGTTTTTCTTTCCTGCCTCATCTCCCATTTGTATGCCTTGCTGGCAGGCTAGCTCCCAGACTAAACATGAGGACCCATCTAGTACCCCAACAGATAATCTAGTTATTTTATCTAGGATTGGTCCTTTAATCTTTGTAGGCCTCTAATTTTGAGTCTATAAAAGTGAATTAGATTAGATAGCCTATCTGATGCTATTAGATCTAAAATTAATTATTTCTCTTCTTATCAGAAGAGGAAATAAAGACAAGAAGAGAAATAATGAATTTATTATTCTCATCTCTAAGAGATGAGAAAGGAAAGACAAGAAAAAACAAACTAAGAAAAAATGAGAAAAATTCTGCTTGAGGGTTGAAGATGGGAGTAAGGGAAGCAGTTGAAGATTTTCCTTTTTTTCCAAATAGGTGCATACAGTTATCATTTTACTTATGAACCACAAAGTGATTTTGGCCATGGCTGATGAATGCAGTGTGGTGTTTATGATACATTTGTATCAAAGAAAATAAAATCATAAGCATTTTCAAATATTCCATTTGCCGTATTCCTTTAACATGATAGTTAAGATAGTTCTAGTACCAGTGTTTAACCAGGTGACAGTCCTAAATTACCTCCTGAGAAAGAAAGTATCTTTATCTTTACTTCCTCATATTTTTGTTGTATTTACTCAGTTAATTGGCCTTTAATATGAATAAACCAATGGCAGATTTAATATTATTTTTCAAATTTTAAGTCACAAAATCATGAAATTATTAAAATGTCATATTTTATGTTTACTCGTATATAGGAGAAACATATTATCTTTTGTAAAATTATAGAAGTATATAATAATTATGAATTAAATTGACTTTTGACTTTTGGTATTAGCCCAAGAAGCTAGCCCAACACTCAGAGTATTGTTTTATCTGTTTTTCAAATGTGAAATGAATTCTGAATGTCAAAAGTTCCATTGAAAAGTTTGAAACCATCTGTACAAATACAAATACCAGTTGAGAAATTGTTCATGGCTAGTAGTTCAGTGGTTAGGGCGCCGGCCACATCCACCAGGGGTGGTGGGTTTGAACCTGGCCCAGGCCTGTTAAATAACAATGACAACAACAACAAAATAGACGGGCATTGTGATGGGTGCCTGTAGTACTACTTGGGAGGTTGAGGCAAGAGAATCACTTAAGGCTAAGAGTTTGAAGTTACTATGAGCTGTGATGCCACTGTACTCTACTGAGGGTGACATATGACACTCTTGTCTCAAGAAAAATTGACATGGTATCTTGGAGTGGTCTGATTATTTTCACTTAAGTCTAGAAAAAAGGGGAAAAAAATCTGTCTTTTCTTTATCCCGGTGGTTTTTGGAATACTATTCCACTTTAAACAAGACAGTTTTTTGTTATACTAGGATGTACTGCACATGTAGGACATGTAGCATCCTGGTCTCTACCACTTTTGGTGGAATGTTACAAACATTTGGATGGAGTAAGAAGAGGGATCTATCCCTAACTGAAGAACATTGAAGGATTTTACCTTAGTAGCATGTACTTAGAATGGTTTGAAGTATATCATCTCATGATAGATATGTATGTATCTATATATATTCAAGTATATCATTAAATAAACATGGTAAGATTTTATTTGTTGTACCAAAATTTGTGATGTTTAAATTTGTAAGTGGGTTTTTTTTTTTTTTTTTAAGATAAATGTATGAGTTGCCTGTTAGAAGTAGCTCTTTCGGGAAATGAAGAGCAGAAGCCTTTTGATTACAAATTACGGCCTGAGATTGCTGTCTTTGTGGACTTGGCATTGGGTTGTTCTAAAGAGCCTGCTCGAAGCCTTTGGATCAGCATGCAGGATTATGCCGTTAGTAAAGGTAAGATAAAGAGAGTAACGTGTAGTTAGTATATAATGCTGACTAATATCTATGCAATATATATATAAATAGAAAATCATAAGGATCACCCTATTACATTTTTATTGGAAGAGGTATTTTATAAATAACATTTTAAAATAATTTGATTTTTCCTTTGTGGACAATACCCTAGTATACACATATCTCATTTAAAACAAACTCACTGTGTGAAGATTTAGATTATATAATAAATTTATAGATTGTCATATTACTGATTTATAGTAGCCCCTCATATGCATGGATGATAGGCTCCAAACCCCCAGTGGATGCTTAAACCATAGATAGTACCATATCTTCTATATGCTATATTTTTTCCAATGTATACATAGCTGTGATAAAGTTTAATATATAAATTAGGCACAGCAAGAGATTAATAACAACAATTAATAATAATAACAATGAAGTAGAATGATTTGATAATATACTGTCATTACTACTCTTGTGCTTTGGCGCCAGTATTAATTAAAATAAGGGTTGCTTGAACTCAAGTACTGTGATACCAAGATAGTCAGTCTGATGACCAGAAGGGCTATTAAGGTGTGTATAGTGTAGATATGTTGGACAAAAAGATGATGTATGTTTCAAGCAGGACAGAGTGAAATAGCACGCTATTTCATTATGCTACTCAGAAGAGTATGCAATTTAAAAGTTATGACTTACTTATTTTTGGAATTTCTATTCCACATTTTCAGACCTAGTTGACCACACGTAACTGAAACTACAGAAAGTGAAACCATGGATAAGGGGAGACTACTGTACTCCATGCTATGTGAATGGAATTAGTATAAGAATCTGTTTAATGAGTCTCATCCCTTTGAAAGCTCTGATTTAGTAAGTGAAAGGATGTAGTCTTAGAAGTCCAAGCTGCAGCTGTGGTCAGCATTCCTGGTTGTATATGGTGGTTCACCCCTATAAGCCTAGCACTTTGGGAGGCCAACGTGGGCATGTTGACACGTGACTGTAGTCCCAGCTATTCAGGAGGCTGAGGCAGGGAGGATAGCTTTTCAAGAGTTTGAGGTTGCAGTGAGCTACTCCAAGGCCACTGCACTCTAGGCTGGATGACAGACAAGACCCTATCTCAAAAAACAAACAAAAACAAAAACCCAAACATTTGCCTTTTCAGAGTGCTGGTGAAGATAATAGTGTGAGATAAGATATACTGTTTAGTGCAGTAGTAAAATAGCATAGAAGTATGTGGAGGTAATTCAGTTTTTAATATGATGATTAATAAATTAATTTTACATATAGATTGTCAAAGAATGAACTTGATTTCTTTCTAGCTCCCATGTTCTTTTAGCAGTGACTAGTATTGTTCAGAATCACATATCTCTGCTTAATCTCTCTGCATGTGATTCTCTCTTATCCTATCTTTAGTTTTCTCCTCCTCCTCCTGCTTGTCTTCTTCTTTTTTTTTTTTTTTTTTGAGACAGAGCCTGAAGCTGTCGCCCTTTGTAGAGTGCTGTGGCATCACAGCTCACAGCAACCTCCAATCCTGGGCTTAAGCAATTCTTTTGCCTCAGCCTCCCAAGTAGCTGGGATTACAGGC